TTTACTACAAAAAGTCAAATGAAACCTCAGAAGAAACCACCACCCAGTCCATGCAATCACTGTGGGATTTTGCATTGGTATAAAGACTGTCCATACCGCTATAAGACTTGTCTGTCGTGCAATAAAGTGGGACATAAAAGTTCGCACTGTAGAACGAAGAAAGAAAACAAAAGCCGAGTAAGAGCTACTAGAACTGATCAAGTAGATGGGATAAATATACGAAAATATAGTAGTAGAAATGTTAAACAAAAAAAATCAGATTACAATTAGATTCCGGATCAGATTTAACCATTATTAGCTTACAGACGTGGAAGAAACCAACCATGTTGAGAACGGATAAAATAGCCAGGTCTGTAACAGGAAGAAAAATCAAATTTGAGGGCGAGATTATCACAAATGTGACGTTCAACGGAATGACCAAAAAATTAAAGATGTATGTTCTAAAAAATACGGAAAATTTATTTGGAACTGACTGGATACAGAAATTTGACCTCTGGGATTTACCAATAAATGTGTTCTACCGAAAAGTGGAAAGATTATCGACCGAGGCAGAGAAATTGAAGGGAATTGAACAGAGGAAAATTTTTCTCAAAAATAGACTTGAACAAAGCATACCTACAGGTACCAGTAGATGAGGAAAGCTCGAGGTTGTTGTGCATCAACACTCATAAAGGATTATATGTTCCAGAGATTACCATTTGGGATCAAGATCGCGCCGGCAATATTTCAGCAAATAATGGACACTATGCTAGGTGGACTGGATTTTACGATCGCATACCTTGATGACATCCTGATAAATAGCAAAAATATTGAACAACACTGAGAACACGTTCAAGAGGTTTTCAGACAGATACAAAATTACGGTTTTAAGGTAAAAGAAAATAAATGTGACTTCTTTATGAAGAAGATAAAATATCTGGGCCATATTATTAAGGAAGAAGACCAGACCCAAAAAGAGCCACGGCAATAAAAAAAAATGCCGGTTCCAAAAGATTTAGCCTAGTTACAAAGCTTCTTGGGCTTAGTAAATTATTATCAAGAATTTATTCCTAACATGCACAAATTACGCATACCCCTAAACGAACTGTTGAAGAAGGAAAATGTTTGGGAATGTTCATATGAATGTCAGAAAACTTTCGACAAAATCATTAAGACTCTAACAGCAGATTTATTTTTAGCACATTATGATCCTAAATTGGAAATAATAGTCACGAGTGTCTATGGTGTTGGTGCATGTATACTACATAAAATGCCGGACGAGACAAGAACTTTACTACCAGCCGAACAAAATTACTTGCAAATCGAAAAAGAAGCACTGGGGATAATTTTTGTAGTCATGAGATTCCACAGATATATTTACAGTAGATCTTTCACCTTGCAGATGGACCACAAGCCGTTACTAACAATATTTGGATCAAAGAAAGGTTTACCTGTCTACACTGCTAATAGATTACTAAGATAGGGTACGATTTTATTAAACTATAATTTCAAATTGGAGTATCTTCCATCAAACAATATCAGGCATGCAGTCGGTCTTTCGAGACTAATACCAAAGAAAACTGAGCCATTAGAAGATTCCGTAATTGCAGCTCTACGATATGAAGAAGATATTAGAACATCATTATGTAGTACAATTAGAAACCTCCCCATCACATTACAGCAAATAAGAAACGAACCAGTGAATGACGAATTTATAAAGGAAACGAAAACAAAAATTGCAGGAAATAAGCATATTGCAGAGAGTTTTTTGTTATGTGATAATGTTCTGCTATATAATGAAAGAGTAGTAATCCCGAAAATGCTACAACGGCGAATCCTCAAGGATTTCCACATGGGCCATCCAGGAAAGAACAGGATGAAATCCTTAATGCGAAGTTATGTGTACATGGATCAAGATATTATACATATGGTGGACAAATGCAAGGGCTGTTACTTAGCAGCCAAGGCACCTCCAATCACTCATAAGCCATGGCCTAAGATAGATCGACCATGGTCGAAAATCCATGTAGATTTCGCAGGTCCAGTAGAGGGTTTCTACTACTTGATTGTAGTAGACAGTTACAGCAAATGGCAAGTATTTTGTTGTAGAAAACCTACTTCTGAGATAACAATAAATTGCCTTCACGAGCTGTTTGCTCGTTTCGGAGTGGTTGATTGTTTAGTCACCGATAATGGGACACCATTTACATCTGCAGATTTTGAAGAGTTTTGTGAAACTTTTCAGGTGAAACACATAAAATCTCTGCCATATCACCCAAGGTCGAACGGGCAAGCGGAGAGGTTTATAGATGCATTAAAAATAGCACTAAGGAAAGCTTATGACGTAAAGGAAAAAAGGCTTTACAACAATTCTTGCAAGTGTATAGAATTACACCAAACAGTACTACGCCATCGACATTATCACTGGCGAAAGTAATGTTCGCTCGAAAAATTAGATCGGTATTCCACAAATTACTGCCAAAACAGACAAACCAATCACCAACGTGGTTTGTACCAAAAAGAAAATTTAGCCCAGGGGAGAAAGGTTTTTTTTTTTATTTTTTTTTTTAAATGTTCACAAACAACACATCCTATTGGGAGCCAGGTACAATAGAGAAATGAAATGGGAACGTGATTTACATAATTCAGGATCTGAAGTTCTTGCATAAAAGGCACATAAATCAGATCAGAAAGAGGCTGTTAGAGGATTCTAACAGTCTACCTCAGAAAGAGGAGGAAGTAATGGACACAATATTTGATACCTTCAATATGCAAAAGCCTTAAGCAATTTCAGAACTGTGGAAATCAAGCAGAAAAAGAAAATTTACAGATCCTTTGATGATTAATCTGAAGAGGAAAAAATATTAAAGACCCCTGTAAGGTAAAATTTTGGAAGTGGGGTGTCATTTTCCCCACCTAGAACAACAGAATGAACTCTTCTTAACGATATATATATACTATGCCTCTCAAGAGAGACGGACGGTATTGAATTGTTGAGCTGATAGTAGTTCACTCCAAACCCAGTCTGACAGTCATACTAACCACCTTCCACTTCTTGTATTATTTTTCGTGTAATATATTCTTTGTTATTTCTACTCTTTGTGTTTCGTGTTGTTCTTCCATGGTCCTAACCTTGGACCATAACACTTACACAAGGAAAGGGAAGGTATGAATCAACCTTTTCTCCTCCAGCTATGGGTTAATTAGTAAGACTTGTATCACTAAACCATTATTATCTCAAAAAATAGAATTGTGTACAAAATATTTACAGTTCAGTATTAAATAACCTATAGAGGTTGATATGCTTCTAAACAAAAACAACCATAAAACAATAACAATGCTGAGGTTAGTCAGTCTGTCTCTTTCTCACTCACTCACTCTCACACAATTCTTGCTTTATTCACATTTTATTAGCAGATTTCCTTTTTTTCTACAAGATGGGGAAGCAAAACCTGAAGACTTGCAAATCTAGTGGATAAGAGTTATGTAGGACAAAGGTCATAAGTTGGCAATGTTAACTTTTTCTCAGTTGGAGAAAGTTTTTCTCATCAGTGAATCCATGATTCTTGAGTACCTGAACATTTTTAATTTGTAACTTTCCAACATCTTGATATTCATGAACTTTCTAAAGAAGGTGTATAATTTAAGACTCCGGTTGTGAAACACAGTTGTTCTGATGGTCTTGGCATTCACTTTTACCTCACCAGCTATCTTACACATGAATGTTGTTGGATTCTTTGCAATTTTGGTGTTAAGGACTTTAATGAAGTCCAGATTCTGCATTTTGTTGATCCCATTGCTGCTCAGTTTCCTCTGGATGGCATTGACTGTGTCTGGGGTCTTCTTGACTTGTATATAATGCACAAGAACAGACCAAATATGTTTTGATGCTTTTAGTGTTGATTTGTGCACAAAGCAAATCTAATATACTTTACCATTTGTCTTCTGGTGAAGTTATTTTCCACAATATTCCTGAAGGATAGCTATGTATTTGTAGTGAACTACTGCAGAAGGCAAAAAGGCCCAGGGTTGCACACATTTTTTGCAATGCTAGAAGAAAATGACTTACTTTCAGGCCAAACACAGATTCGAACATATTTTGCATGTAAACTGTCCAAAAAGGAGAGAAATAGTGGCTTCACAGGTTACACATTTAAAACAGATCCTAGAGTCAGTCTTTCGTGAGATTATCTTTTCACATATGTAAATTTTGGCTGTGAATGAGGAGATAAAAATGGGGAGAATGAGGTGACAGGCAGAATGGTTACTGCTGTGTCAAACAGACAACACTAGTTGCAGTCAGTAGAGTGTTTGAGAGGAAACGGATTTTGGGAAATTGTTTACAAGAAAAGAAATGAAAAGTTGACAACCTTTTATCTACAGTATGTACTTTTTTGTTCTGCATTTGTCTTTGCATCATTTGGTGTAGTGGTTGGTGTGAAATTTTACTTTAAATTTTACTGCAAGCTGGGCTTCTTTACCTTGTATCTATAATCATTAAAGCGAATGAAAGTTTTGACATTCTTGTTTAATAAATCATATTTCTTTGATATCATGGTTTACATGAACTGCAAATGAGTAATGATCCTTAATTTTTATTAAATTTTGTATTTGTATTAGATTGATGCAAAAGTTTACAGTATTTTTTGAAAAAATGTTATATAAATTCATAGCATAATTATTGTTATCAAAATATTGTTCCAAATCATTTCTCAGATGTACTTATACCTACTGTATTATTACTAAGATTCATGGATTCAGTCTGTTGCACTTTTCTTCCAGATTAAACACAATGTGGAAATAATGTCAATTGTGCATTTTTTTTATGATTTTGAACAAGATAAAGTAAAATTATCATTTTTCTGATGAAAAACGTAAAAATTAGTATATATAAGCAATAAAGAGCTGAGTAAATATCAGAAACACTTCTAAGATTTCTGTAACATTGTACAGAAGATTGCAATACTGTACACTTCAAATATGATTTTGCCTTTTTAAAACAAAATATTATTTCTTTTTAGTTGAAACCATATAACATCAGTGTGACACTGGCTTTTCCACCAGATACTGATACACCTGGCTTTGCTGAAGAACAAAAGTCTAAAGTAAGTGATTATGTACATTCCTTATCATTGTTATTCTATTTTCAGCTTTCAGTACGGAAACTGCTGTTTCTTTTTTTTTTTTTTTTTTTCTTTTTATAATCACAATTTATATCAACCTATGTATAGTACAATTGTGTATGTCTTTATGAATTGGGAAAATTTTTATTTGCTCTACACATTAGAAAATTAAGTACATTGCATGCGGGGGTAGGTGTATATTTTCTGACCAGCCACTTGAATTTCATTTATGAGTGTAATATTTGCCATCATGTACTGAATTCAAAATTTGGAAAATCTCATAACAATTCTCTCACACATAATCTTGGTGGCCTTCATCCAAGACCAGCTGAAAATGTGTATACAATGTTTTTGCAAAATTTGTAAATCCAGTCTAGTTCTGAATTGATACATGAAGGTCCATGAGGATGACATTACTCAATTTAATCCAATAAATATTTTGTATGTCACATATGATGCAAGCTGTGCAAATCTTCTGCTGAGCTAATGAAGTCACCTTTATGCGTGGACAGCTAATTCAACAATTAATGAGACTGCAATCATCTTTTAGCTTGGAAAATGGTTAAATTACAACTTCTCTAGAATATAATGAAAGTTTTTAAAAATACTGTTGATGGAATTAATAATGATTTAAGACTTTAGGAGAAATGTTAAATAAGACTTTTTTTTTTATTTTATTTCTTCAAGCCTAAAGAAACTAAATTGATATCAGAAGCAGGTGGTCTAGTCAACCCCAATGTTGTGGCAAAAAAGATTGTGGACTCTGCACTGGTAAGTTTGATAACAAAAGTACAAATTGAATTTACATACACACACACACACATAAGTACAGACGATCCTTAAAAATCCATTTGGTTATAATTTATTTATGAATATACAAATATTCATTTCTTCAGATCAAATTTTTTTAATAAATGGAGTCAATTTATGCAGATGAAAGAAGAGAGGAAAAATTTTTAATATTAAAGAGGAAGAAGGAAAAATAAAAATTTCAATATAAGGTTTTAAAAATATTTTGTGTGGGAAGAGAGATAGAGGGAAGAAAGAAGGAGAGAGTGAGGAAAAGAAAGGAAAAATTAAACACTAGCCGATAGGATGACCTAGAAATTATTTTTTTTTATTTAAGGACTGAACCAGTTAAACTAAGGAATCAATAATTCTACTAAGAGAAATGTGGAACTAGAACAGTCTATCCCAGTGAGCGAAATAAAGGGTTCAGTTTGACATTCCAACCACCTGAAGAAGGCCGGAGCGTACAACGGCTGAATTGTAATAAATATGGCGACAAAGATAGTCCGAATAATGTAAATAGTGTAGTATACAAAGCTATCATTTTTCCGAAAGAAAACTACCCAAACATTATTGGAATCTTAAAGATGGAGGCTTCGCCCAACTAATTAAATGAAGGATCATCTATCAATTTCAGACTCCCAACAACTTCTAGGGCAGATGCAATCTATGCATACAGGAAACAAATCATAATGATTAGGTATAAAAATGCTGATGAATTATTGAACCAGAGGAACAAACTTATCTTCAAATGTAGACACAAGAACATATTTAAAATTCCCTAATAACATTAATTTTGGAGAATTTACACTTCAAGTGTTGATTCTGTTTTATATGGGTACTAACATGTATATGTACAACATTGGTCATTTGACACAGTTATAATCTTAAATTATTATTTTTATCCTTGTAGAATATTGGTTAGCTTGTAGTCCACCAAGTTAAAGCTGAAGTTAAAGTGACCTGAGTCATTTAATGGAAAGATATATGGGTGAATAGAGACCACTCATGCAAATGTGTTGGGCAGGTCCATTCTAGCAAAATGGACCAACCTAACTGGTGCATTAGGTACTCTCCTATAAATGAGGTAAAATTAGCTAGCTTGCTTTTCCAATAAGACACAAGAAAGTCTTGTTATTGTGGTTTCCTTTGCATGTTTGATGAGCTTTTGAAAATTCAGGTTTTTCATTTGTTTGTTAAGTTTTTTTTTTTTTTCCCCCTTGTAAGAACCCTTTTGAATTTTTTCAGTTTTTTTTTTCAGTTTATTTTTTCATATATATTTGTGCATTTTTTAGTTCGTTTTTTGTTTTATTTTTCATTTTGTTCTTGATATAGTTTTTTGGTTGTTTAAATAATTTAAAAAAAAAATCAAATCAAGGCAAACTTTTTTTGTTCATGGTGGACGAGGTGAAACACCATGAGCAAAAATAAACTTAACTAAAACACCAAACTGTAAAATTTGAAACAATGGCCTGGGCTGAGAATATGCCCAAAAAAAAAAACTCAGAATATTATGAGCAACAAAAGAAAAGTGTTTGAGGATTCTTTCAAGGAAAATGAATTTCTGACAATTCCAGAGGCTCTAGATTCGTTAATACAAGAATAATATCCCTGCTGACATCCGATGTCAAAAGTTGAAATTAATTGGGGTCAGGGGAACAATGGAAGAGGTCCTAAAAAGTCTAAAGATTAACTTGAAAGTTTTAGTGAGACAGACAAATGCAATTTGGGATATTCTCCTCCCTACAGAACAAGACGCCAAACAACTAGCAGGCAGTGTGTTAAGCATGAAAACCTCTTTTTTTAAGTATGGGACATGGGCAAAGTATCTTCCACAAAGATTAAAGTCCATGGGATGCCCGTGGATATCTCAGAAGACTGGATGGGGACCTTCTTTTTCAAATTTGGAAAAGTACCCAAATGAAGGCTATATTAGGAAAATCAGATCACCACTGGAGATGAAAACTTCAGGTCATATTGTTGGTCTTAATGGAAATTTTGGGCAAATTCCCAATATTATATTGTGGTAAGAAAAGAGAATGTTGGTTGCCCAACGAGGGCCAAAAACAACTGTTGGTCATTTGAAAGGTCCTGGGGCACATGCCAAAGGAGTGCCCCCGTGAACCACTCAGCCTCCCCAAAACAGGATACAATCTCCAAAACAGCAGCAGCCACAGCAGGAGCAACCAAAAGGTAGCAGACAAAGATTCAATGGTGTCCTGGAAGGAGGAAAAAGAAGTGGTAAGAGGGAGAAAAAGTGGGACTTCTCCACCCCAAAAAAAAAAAAGGAGACAACAGATAAACAACAACCACCAACACAGCAGAAAGCCAAAAAAAAAAAAAACTGTAAAAAGAATGAAAGGAAAAGACAAAAACAGGCAGCAACAGCAAAAACAGAGGAGAAAATGGAGGTAGATAAAATGCCCCCACCTTGTGCAGCATCCCTGAAAAGAAGGAGAGAAGAGGAAGAAGAGGTAGATGAAAATGCAAAAACACACTAGATGGAGAGGGGGATAGACAAAATAAAACCAGGTCCCTTTCCATCCCTGCTTCCCCAAAAAAGAAAAGTCTGAAACTCCCAAGACTAGGGAGCCTCCATTCCCCCTTCCCATGCTCCATCCCCCTCTCCCTCAAACTCTTCCCTTAGTTCCCTATCCACACCCCCCTCATGTGGTCAACTGCTTCCCCCCCCCCCCTCAAAAGCAACAAGAAAGAAAAAAAAAAAATATTTCCCTGGCCCAGAATCAATTTAAGGGATGGACAAAAGAAATTCAAAAAGGGCCTGTCCAGCCAAAAGAAATCCCAGTTGGGTCTCTTATTAAAATGAACAGTGTAGATGGGAAATCAGTGGAAGATCCATGTAATTTTCCAAATGCCCCAGGTGTCATTACCTGCATAAGGGACACTGGGGCCTATCTTAAAAAGGTGGGGTCATGTAGCAGAAGCTAAAGAGTTATTTGGCAAGATGAGAATGTTAGAGATTGATTCTCCTTATTTAAAAAAATCATATTTTTTGTGCTGGGAGGGTCCCTGTTCTTCTCCATCCCTCCCTATATTGGTGTCTAAAACTAAATTATCCCCTATATCAGCAGAATTGTCCTGGAAAGATGAATGACGTCAGAACTGGGTAGGGAGACTAGGACAATCCGTTAGGATCCTTACTAACTCAGATTTCCGTCCTGTATGTGAGTAGGTTTTTGCTTTTTCTTACTTTTATTTTTTTGCAGGCCTAAAAGATGTCAATCAAGATAGCCAGTCTGAATGCAAAGGGCTTGAGAGATTGGGGTAAGGTGGCCCACCTACCTGTTCTGGGATCTCCTTGTCTTTCAGCGTGGATGTCGCTGCAAACCAAGAGACTCACTTTGTTTGCAATGTCGATGCATGTGTGCTGGAGAACAACTTTGTCATTTATTCAGCATATGGGGAATGACAGGCCAGAGGAGTTAGACTTACCCTGGATGTGAAGGTGGACCTTGTGCATACCGATGCCGAGAGCCGGTTGATCGTGGCCGATATTGCCATGAAAAGTGGGTCATTCCGAGTCGTTGTAGTTTATGTGCCCAACGACCAGGGGGAGCGGGTCTCGTTTTTTCAGCAGTTGGGGGCCGTTCTTGGTGGCTTCAACATGCCTAATGTTAATAGGGGACTGGAATGCCATCCTGGACCCTAAGTTAGACAGGGGGTGGGGAGCTAGCAGGAGAAGTGGGGATCATAGCCTGGTTGATCTGATCAACGATTTTGGTCTCGTTGATAGATACCGGGTCGATCACTCCAGAGGGAAGATGTGGATGTGGGCTCTTAATTGGCCTTTTACCCAGGTGGTTAGCTACCTGGATAGAATGTTAGAGGAGCCAACGTAGACTTCCAAGATTGTCCCACGTTCCACTGGGTAGGCTATTCGGACCACAAACTCGTTTGTGCCCGGATGGCGTTAGATGGTAGGCCTAGAATGGCTGGTTACTGGAAGTTCAATCTGTCCTTACTGGACAGGCCGGACTTCCAGGAGAAGCTAACTAGCTTAGTGCAGCAGTAGCTAGTGGGGGCGGTTATTGGGAATAAGTGGTGGGAGAGACTTAAGGATAGGATTAGGTCTTTCACCACTGATTTCAGCAAACAGCGGCCCTAGATAGAGCCGAGAAGATGAAGACACTTAAGGCTAGTTTTTCCTGGGCTGTGGCTGGGGGGATCCCCTAGAGATAGCTTTAGCTAGGGAGGCTCTGAAGCATTTGACTAGCGAGTGCTACATGGGCCAGGTAATTAGACATAGGTTAAGCAAGATGTTTTCCGAAGCTGTGAACATGGGTGCAGATCTGCACAAGGAAGAGATTCGTTGAGGTTCCGATTGTTACATTTGTGAAGTCAGTTCCCTGGAGGGGCATACTCTTTGAGCCACTGACAACGTGTGAGGCGTTTTGAGAGCTGGCTTACCAAGAAGCCTGATCTCTGTGATGAGGAGTTTTGAAGCTATTTGGTTGACTTTCCTCAGCTTTCGCCAACTGAAGCAGCTAACTGCGAGGGAGAGATCATGGAGGGCGAAGTCTACATGGCATTGAAGAAGGTCGGTAGAGGCAAGTCGCCTGGTCTGGATGGTTTGCTCTATGAATTGTACTTGAGGCTGTTGCACATCTTTGTCCCGATTTTGACAGTGGTATTCAACAACTGGTTCTGGTCAGGGGTCCATCCCCACCTGGATTTCCAGGGGTGTGATCCCCAAAAAGGGCAAAAAGTGTTGGGGGGACATGATTATAGGCCCATAACCTGCATCTGCCAAGATCCTGCAGGATCATGAGGGTCAGTTGGATCCTTGTCTGATGGGCGTCCAATTCAGGCCACCTGCATCTGATCCACACGATCAAGGGTTAAAAAATACAATGAGGCTGCGCTTTGAGCAATTTAGATCAAAGTCATTTGATAGGGTTGACCATCACTACCTTGCTGCTGTCCTGCAGGCCACTGGATTCAAACCCCACTTCTGCCACTGGATTAGCCTCCTGTATCGCTCCCCCAGTGCTGTGGTACAGGTGAACAGGAAGCTGTCAGTGCTGTCTAGGTTGTTCCAGGGTTATCCACTGTCCCTCCACTTTATACTTTGGCATTGAGCCTCTCCTTTGCTGGCTAAGGGACAGGGCATGCAGTCTTTTTTGGAATCCCATTCCTGGAGGGGCTTAAACCAGGGTTTCCACAATACGCCGATGACAATCGACATATCTGCTTTTGTGTCATCCTGCAGCAACATTGAGGTAGTACTGAAGGCACTTGAATGGTATGAAAAAGGTGACAGGGGCCAAAATTAACCACGACAAGTCATCCGGCTTGTGGTTAGGTGCCTGGAAGGGGGGCGATCTTCCAGGGCCCTTTTGTTGGACGGACAGTCCTGTCCACATTCTTGAAGTATGGTTTGGACCAGACCACCAGCTGGAGAAAAATTGGTCTGAAGTATGAGCAAAGGTCGACGTGGCTGGTCAAACTTGGCATCGACGGAGGTTGTCCGTGAAGGGCAGGGCAGAGGTCTGTGCCATTACGATTTTCCTTTCCTTGTCTATACTTCCTCTCTGTAAAGACAATAGGAAGCCACTTGAGCGATCGCTATCCTCCATTTTATGGAGGGGATGTAAGCATCAGGTCGACAGACAAGTCTGTGCACAACATCCATGTCATGGAGGGCTGAGAATGCCACACTTGGTGAGCCAGAAACTTACCTCAAGGTTGGCTTTCCTATGCCGCGCATTGACAGGAGATTCAATTATGGCGGGGATTGTTAGGGATGTGTTCCCTTTCCTTACTGTCTCCCCTCTCCCGCGGGTTGAACGTCATTGTAAACCCTGGGATCAATCGGATTTCCTTTGTGAGTGTCTGTCAGCCTTGTTAGCTGTTCCTCGGTCCAGTGACCTTTCTCAGTCTAGGAAGGTCTTCTATCGTCATCTAGTGGAGGGGGTTGCAAAGGATTCTCTATGTGAGCAGCTCGACTTGTCGAAGGAGTAGTTTTGCTCTTTCTGGTTGTGGGCGCCAGTGGCAGATTATCTCAGTAACCCTGAGTTTTTGCTTATTGGCGATTGGCTTTAGGATCGGCTGCCTCTCAATGACAAGGTCTTCATATGGGGCTTGGAGGATTTGCCAGACTGTGAACAGTGTGGCCTTGCTTTAGAAGAAATGGCTTCACACGCCTTCTACCATTGTCCCCGGTCCGCCCCCTTATGGGACCATGTCGGCGAGCTGACAGCTGTCTCGTTCCCAAAAAAAGCTTGTGCTCATTGATTGTGCATACGCATGTGACAATGTGTCACCCTCTTATTCTGGGGTGAAACAAATGGTGTTTCTGATGTTGCTGGCCATGGCCCGAATGGTGATTTGGATAACACAGCAGGAGGAAGTCTTGCGAGGCAACCGTCTTTCTCATCAGGATCTGATCAGATTCTTTGAGCATCAGCTCAAGATGAAGATCAGAACTGATAGAAAATACTTGCATTCAGTCTTTAAAAAGATGGGTGACTGAGGCGAGCTTGGTTTGTTTGAACAGGGCTAGCCTTTGATTTTCTCTTTTTAGGTCAACCTTATGTCACATCAGGGTGGCTTCCTGTGGAGCCCTCCCCTGGTTAGGGCTAGACAAGCTTTGTGTACCTAGTTAATGTGAGTGTTCCTCCCCGGCCACATCTTTGGTTATGATCCAGGTTGAGATTCCCAACCTCCCCAGTTTGTTTTGGCCCCCTTTTTTTTTATCTCAACTGGGTCATCTTTATATTTTCCCATGGCCATATAATTTTTTATCCTTTTCCCACTCCCTTAACGAGAGAGAGCTTCTTGATTTTGTCCAATGGGCAGAATACAGCAGCCTCCTTTTTTTGAGGGCAGGACAGGCCCTACTAACATCAGTTATGTTTAGTTTATTTTGTGTTGATTTTTAGTTTTTATTGGGTTCATCTCCTCCCCTCTCATTCATTCTTATTTGATTTTTATTAATTTATAATCATTAAATTTTTATGGCATGGGGATTTGTAGGTCCCCCCCTTGAGAGGATGCATTATTGTGGCATGTATGGAGGATTGAGTGGTGATGGACGAGTTTTTATGGTGAATGTGGAAATTGTAATGAGTGAATGGGTCGTGAATCGGATTAGCTAGGTATAGGATAGTTAGTGTCAACCAGCCTCAACCCCATTTATACAATAAATATAGTAAAAAGAAACGGCCATTCACAAATAAAGGTAAGTCATGACTTGACTTCCTTATCTATAATAAATATATATATATATATATATATATATATATATATATTATATAAAGATATTTTAAATTCTTTAAAATTGCTCTTTATTTATCTCATTAATATTTTTTTGTGTATTTTATTTTTTTATTTTATGATGTCAGATATTATTAATTTGAAATTGTGATGATTATCATACAATGATGATTGTGTCATTGTTAAAAAATGACATGAATATCAGACAATTCAATGTATCTATTTTAAATCTGATCACTCCCTTCCTTATCCTGTAATTTAACTTGTTCAGTCCTTAAAGAAAATATAATTTCTGGGTCACCCTCTTGACTCAGGTTTAATTCTTCCCTCCTTCTCTCTACCCTCTCCCCCAAATTTTTAAAACCTTATATTGAAATTTTTATTTTTATTTTTTCCTCTCCCTTTTGACTGGATAAGTTGACTCCATTTATCAAAAAACTTTGGTCTGAAGAGATAAATATTTATATATTCATAAAATAAATTATAACTGAATGGATTTTTAAGGATTGTCTGTACTCAATGTTATATTGCTCTGTTACTTACATTGAGCTTTCTTTGGATTAATGTCCTCCTTGGAATTAACCCTACTAATTATCAATGCACAATTTTGAATTGATAAAATCACTTGGATATTAAAGTGAAGTTTAGTTATGAGTTTCAATCTTCTGTAAACAAATGTCAAATGTTTGAAGTATATAATAAATGAAAGTTTTATCAAAAATATTTTGTTAATAATTTACATTGTTTTTAAACATATTCATTGGCTTAACTTGTATATAAAGTTAGGAAGTTTAATAAGAAGCTTGTTACTAAAACAAATGTTATTCAGAGCTCAATCTAGGAATATGAACTGAAGTGCCAAAAATTTTGAGAAAATAAAGTAATATGTGCCTTCACTTGAACAATGGTGACTATGTAATGCGGCATGGATTTTGCAAGATCCTCTAGTTATATCTATCTTGGCACAACACTGTTTTTTCTAATCCTAATTTTTTCTAGGGTCATATTTAGCTAAACTGAGTAAACAAATATTTTGGTTATGGCTACAGAGAAGCTAATGAGGTTTGTAGAATGTTCCATGTATGCACAATGGTGTATAAATCTGGTGAGCATGAGGGCCAGTGGAGTATTTGAATGTATGCCAAACATTCCTGTGCAAGAGGAAGACTAGTGGTATCATGCTGAAACAAACTATCACTACCAGGAATGATGACAAACATAAATAGGTACAAATGGTTTGTAAAAAAAAAAAAAAAAAAAAATCTGTATATCACCTATCAAGATATACTCCAGTTTCATTAGTGGTCCTTGGCAATTCCATCAGAACAAAACTCACAATATTACAGAGGCACCACCATCTTGTACATCATGCAGCTGACAGACTGCAGACATAACCTCAAATAATCTTCACAAATGGACTTTACCATATGGCATAAAGAGCTGGGAATGTTAATTGACTGGTCAGGCAACATTGGAGTTCAATTTTCCATAGTCCAGTGATAATGTTCTCTGGATCAGGTGATATGTAGTAACCAATGTGGTGGTGTCAATAATTGTATACTTGTTTGTTGATGATTATATAACTCCATAAAACACAGACACTGTACATTGACTGATGGGTTGATTTTCGCCAGCATTGAATTGGGATATGATTTCATAGTTTTCCTTTCATTACCATCCTTGTTAGTCATTATTAATTCCATTCCTGTGGGTGTCTACAGTTTTCATGTGCTTCTAATGTCTATCTAAAGTGGAAAAATTTAGCAGAAAGACCTTGTCAGTTAATTTTGATAAATTATGATTGAATAATATTTTTTTCTAAAGTTTTCTCAGTTCCTTAATGTTGTCAAATTAGGTATATTATATAAAACATGGTTAATTTTTTTCTGCAACAACAGGTAATCTTTTTCCTTTTCTCAATAGAAACGATCATTTCAGTGTTCAGTGGGATTAGATGGATTTCTCTTGGCAACTCTGACAGCAGGAATGGTTCCTGTTTCCACAGCCTTGGAAGCATTTCTACAAGTGAGTAAGCCCACAAACAGGCCAATTCTTTATACTGCCTTATTTTTTCTTGACTTCATCCTCCTGCACTTCATTATGAATCTCTATCAGGTATAAGAACTATCCAAGCAAAGAAAGCAAAAAAACAACTGTTTTTTTTTTTATGACATCAAGTAAATATTTTAACACATAAAAACCAAAAGCAGAAGTAATTAGAAATATATTAATTTGTAAATATATAACTGGATTCCTCTCTGGGTAATCTGTGTAGTCAGTGAAAGACAATGTTGGTTTTTGATTCTCATTTTCATCAGTGTGCACAAAAACTGAGAAAGGCAGCCCAGTGTTTTTCAACAAAGCAATGGAATGTGCAGATATCACCATGGTAATAAATGAAAATGTGAATTCGTCTTCACTTCTATCTTCTCTCAAAACAGACCAGATTTTCCTTTTGACTAACAAGAACTCTGGTCACTCCTCTACTCATCTCTGACTGCAACAATCTCTATATATTTAACCAATAGCTTGTCATCTCTTATTTCTGACAGTGGGTGGTTGCTTTGAAGATTTCATTTTTAGATTTTACTTCTGTTTATAAAACACCAGACCCTTCAGTCCTAGATAAAATCATTTAGAGCCCATTTAACTTTATGTGTGTTCTAATCATGGCTCGATTTGAAATTGTTCTCTTCACAAGTTCACTATTAGATATACCTGTTATATAGTAGTAGCAATATATTTACAATACAAAATATATTTCTGAGATATTGGTCAGCTTAAGGCTTAAACATATAAAATTTGCAAAAGGTAAATTGTATGTTTGAAGTGAAAATAAAATAAAAATATTTGAATAAGTAAAGATACTTTTCATTTTTTTTTTTTTTTTTTTTTTTAGTTTAAAATTTGTCTTATCCAGTTCATCTGTGTACCCTGTTGTTTCTTCTGTCTTTCAGATTTTCCTGATGGGTCCATTCCATTAGTTTGGAATTTTTATTTGTAAGAAAAGATTGATCATTCAAATTGTTACAAAGAAAATAGAACCTAAAAAAAAAAAAAATAAATTCACATTGACAAAATTTATAAAAATATGAAAATATTGAAAGGAAATTCATAATGGGAGAAAAATCCTAGCAAATTACTTACAAGCTGAAATTAGGGGGCCAATTTAAATAAAATCCCATAAAGAATTACTGGGGATTCTGGAGTTGCCTTATCATTGAGTATAGTTCAGAAGAGGCAAGTATATCTATAATGCCCCCTACCATGTTTTGTCTATATATGTTCCTACATGTTCCAGTGTCTATTCACTTTTTGAAACAATAAATTTAATTTCTACCATTCTGCAAATGTCTAGTTTGAACATGAGATCTCTGTCTTGTATAAAAGATATAGCTGATAGCTCTTGGATTAGACTTTCTTTAAAAAGAAAGGAATTCTCATGTACAAATCCTTAACATGATTCTTGAAAATGATTCAAAATTTTAAATCTTTTCATGTATGAATATGGGTGTGTTCTTTTTATGAAGATGTCATGTAAAAACAAAAAAATATCCTTATTTACTGATATTTGTTCTAACAGAAATATTTGGTGCTAAGTGCATCACAAATCCTTTCATATTCAAGTACAAATAATTCTTCTGAGCAAAATGATGCTTCTCCCAATAAATACTTTTGGATACAATGTTGTACTGGATATTTTCCTCCATTTCGAGCCTTTAACTCTGATCTCTTATGATTCATTTCTTGTAAATGGTATTACTCCTAAAAGAAAATCAAAATAAATTTTTTGTAAGAAATTAAAAAAAAAAAAAAAAATTCTGAGCTGAATTTTATTTATTGCTCAAAATGTCAGATTGAGTAAAACGCATAATCATCAACTTTATTTTTATTTGTTTAATAAAAATATAATTTACACAAATCTTGAATTTTCTTGAACTAAAAATGTCTTTATTTTCAGGCTTTGTAAAAACAAAGAAAAACATTGGTTAAAAAAAAAAAAATAAGATTTTGATTTCCATTTTATCATTGTTGTTAATCAGAATTTTTTTTCTATGATGTACAAATACAATGTAAAATGTTTCCATCTAAAATAAAAAGAAAAAAAGAAAAGAAAAATGATATTTTATTCTATTAGTAATTTGTCATTTTTGGGATTCATTGTTTAACTGAAATTAGGTAATCTTAAATCATCCTTACAGATGAGAAATTGCTGGCTTTGACACACATCAGCTTTACAACTGTCTCTATTTTATGAATATCATGAAGGTCTTTTCTTTTACTTATAGACATATTTTACCACCCAGAACAGCTTGACCCTTTTGAAGAGTGTCCAAACTCACAGCAATGGAAAGTTATAATTAAAATGGTTTTGTCTATTGACAGATTTTATTTTTACCATATTGGATATATGTAATGATTTGTTCTTGTTTTGATTCTTTAACCAAAGAATCATTTTTCTGGCCTAGAAAACTGTTTTTTAGTGCAGGCAGAGAGAAAAATGAAAGACAAGTAGGATTGATACTAGACTAAAACATGAAAATATCAGGTCATACTGTCAGTTATCTAATAGAATTTTAACTTTTTAAAAATTTATAATGTCTAATGGAGCTGAACATTATTTTTATGTTTAGAAGCATTTAAACTGATCAAATTTTATTTCAGAGAACAAGAAAATTAAATTTTGTTTGATTAAAACCCTGCTAACATGGAAGTAACCAAGAATCATTTGAGGCACATAATGCTTTATGAGTTCAAGAAAGGAAATTCAGCAGCCGAAGCGGCTAGAAACATTCACTCAGTTTATGGAGAGTAATATGTGAATGAAATAACTTGCAGAAGATGGTTTGCAAAATTCAGAGGTAGAGATTTCACCTTTGAAGATGAAGATCAAACCGGACGTCCAGTTGAGTTTCATAAAAAGCTTCTTGAAGCAGCCCTTGAAGAAAATCCTGCTTTATCAGTTGAGGAATTGGCAGTGGTTCTCAGTTCAAACCATACAACTGTTCATCGTGATCATCAACAACTTGGAAAAGTTCCTAAACTTGGAAAATGGGTGCCTCATGAATTGTCTGAAAACAACCTCAAATCCCGAGTTGACATCTGCTCTTCTCTCCATTCTCGCCAACTTGTTTCAACTTTTTTGGATAGACTTGTGACTGGCTACGAAAAATGGATCTTTTATCGAAATGTTAAGCGTCGTAGATAGTGGCTTGGTAAAGGGAAGGACCCCAGCCACAGCCGAGAAGGGAACTTCATGGGCAAAAGGTTCTTCTTTCAATCTGGTGGGATCGCCAAGGAATAATCCACTTTGAATTCTTACCACCTAATGCAACAATTAATGCTCAAATATACTGTCAGCAATTAGAGCGTTTGAACCAAGCTTTGAGGAAAAAAAAAGACCTGCTCTAGTGAATCGAAAAGAGGTGATGTTTCATGAGGACAATGCGCGACCACCCACAGTAAGAATCACGTCACAAAAGATCGAAGAACTTGGTTGGGAGAAAATTCCTCATCCACCTTATTCTCCCGATCTTGCTCCTTCAGACTACCATTTGTTTCAGTAGCTTACAGAATCATTTGGAAGAAACAGCTTTTGTAACACAGGAAGAGGTTAAAACTGACATTTGTGAGTTCTTCGAATCAAAGCCAAAAGAATTTTACAGTAATGGAATTAGTAAGCTTGTTAATAGATGGAAGGAAGTCATAGATAATCAGGGAAAATACATTGTTGATTGAATCTGTAATTAAATGTAACATTTGGTCACTTGTTTTCTTTATTCAAAATTCGGACAGAACTTATGGGATGACCTGATATTATATATATATATATATATATATATATATATATATATATATATATATATATTTTGGTAATTGTATAAAATTAATAATTTCAAAAAGCGTATATTAAAAAATTAGGAAGAAAAAATGTTTTATTTTTTTAAACTAATTTATAAAAAAAAAAAATTTAATTTTATTTCATTTCGTTTTTTTAAACTTGTAAACAAATTTTCATTATTTTTAATAATAAAAAAAATTTAGTAAAATTTTTTTACAGAAAATATAAATATTTTTATTTATCATATATAAAATATGTTTATTTAAAAAAATTTTTATTTTTAAAAAAGACGTTTTGAAAATGAAAAAAATTTTAAATTGAATTTCAATTAATTTTTATAATAAATTTATTAGATTTTTTATATTTTTTTTTCAGAATTTTAAATATGTGAAAAAATTCAAAATTTTATATAATTTTATTTATATTGATATTAATTTTTGAAAAATTTTTAAATTATTTATAAATTTCTTAAAATCATTTAATTTTTTGAAAATTTTTAATTAAAAAATTAAAATTTTAAAATTTTTTAAATGGTTTGATTTCTTTTTTTAAAGATTTTGATTTTTTTATATATATAATAATATATATGAATCAATTCTTTGTGAATGACGATGTTAAATATTATTTTTATCAAAAATACATAACATTTAAAAAATGAAAATTCTTCAAAATAAATTAAAAAAAAAAATTGAATATTTATTTTTTCTTAAATAATATTTATTCTCTAAATATGATATTTTTTATTTAAATATAAATAATTAATTTTTTTTTTAAATTCTATTTATATATATATATAAAAAATTTAATTTTTATTTTAAAATAAAATTTAAATAAATATCATTCAACCTGAAATTAAGAAAGAATATTTTTTATATAACATTTATTTAAAATATACAAAAATTTAAAAAGTTTGATATTATTATATATCTTTTATCTAAACACATTTTTAAATATTTTAAAAATCATATTATTTTATATGAATAATAATTATATTTCTGTAAATCATTGTATATTAATTTATATGTATTTCTTTATATATTAATTTTAACTTTTTAAATAAATATTTTTTCTTCTTTTCTTTTTCAAATTTCTAAATTTGAAAATATAATTAAATTTAAAATATTTATTTGTTTCTATTTTTAAAAATTAATAAAATTTTCATTTTTAAAACAATTTTTTTTTTTTACAAAATGGAAGAAAAATTTTTTTAGAATTCAAAATTTTTGTAATCAAATTGTTTGTTTCCTTTAACCCTATTTTCTTTTTTAAATTTAATATTTTTTTTTTCATTCAAATCTAAAAACCTTGACATAAAAATCATATTTTTTAAATTTTTTTGAATATGTCCAGCTTCAAATGTTTTTTTTTCCTGATTTTTTATTGATTTTTCTTTTTGACATTAAAATTGTTTTATATATTTTTGAAAAATTTCATTTCTAAAACTAATTATTATAAATAAAAAAACATTCTTTATTTAATTTTAAAATTAAAATGAAAATAATGAAATATCAAATGATTAATCATTATATTCATTTTCCAAAAATTTAAAAATCTTCTAATTAAATTTAAAATTTATAAGATTTTCTTTTCCTATTTATAAAAAATCTAAACATTTTTTATTAAAAAAATAGTTTAATCTTTAAATATTTTATATATCTTTTTATATTTAATATATTTATTTCTAATTAACTTTGAAATTTTCTTTCTTTCATCAAGCCATTTCTTCTTATATTTTATCCTCATTTTTGTTAAATAAATTATTCATTTTCTTTATATAAATTTGAAATTTAATTTTTTTGACATAATCATCTCATAATTTTTTTCCATTTTTATCTCCGATCTCTGAAATTTAAGGTTTTCTTTAAAAATAAAATCATTTATATTCTTTTTTTTTTTTTAACCTAATATTTTTTTAAATGCAAATGTCTTTATATGACTTTTATTTTTCCTAAAAGTTTTCTAATGTTTTATTTATATGATTTTAAAAATTAAACATTCAAATATTTAATTTTGTAAAATTTCATATAATATAAAAAAAAATTTATTTCAAATTTTAAATTAAAAAAATTTTTTTAAAATTTTTTCACAACTTTTCAATTAAATATCAATGGATTTAAAATATTTTTTATATTCTTTAAAATA